CATTCCCTGTTGTAGACAGAAACCATATACACACAAACATCCCTTTCTTTATGGTAAGTCAAAATATTTCAGAATAGCTGCAATAATTGTTAGTATAATTTACACCTCAAATATTTGTAGGATTAAGGAATCCGACATTATACGGGCTCTTTTGACAATATTATTTTTAATTTAAAAATTAAAAAATTATTAAAAATATTAAAAAATTAATAATTTATATTAAAATGTCGAAAATTTATTTTTTTTTTACTTTTCGCACATTTTTTTTATAAAAAATTAAAAAATCATCATAAACATATTAATTTTTTTAACATCATATTTTAATTAAAAAGTTAAAAAATTACTAAAAAAATCTATTCTCAAACAAAGTCATAAATAAATCATGGGTCTAGCTTGTCTCAAGTTGAGATCAAGACTGGACCCGTCCAGTCCGGCCCATAAGGCCCATTTTTTTGGCCCGTTTTAAAAATTCGAACCGTTCAATGTGTAGAACCCGTCGAGTATATGCCTGTAAAAAATCACGTTGATCGGATATCAATAGCCATGTGATCAAATCAGTTTTGCATAAAAAAATGGACGGTGAAAAAATTAACGGTTGACAAAAAACTGTTTTGATCATATAGCTATCGATATTCAATCAATGTGATTTTTTACAAGCATATAGTTCTCGACGAGTTCTACACATTTAACGGTTCGGATTTTTAAAACGGGACCCGTGGTGGGCCCTCACAGGCCCAACAGTACGGTCCAGTCCAATCTTGGACTAGACCAAAGCCACTGCCGTAAATCATATAATAGACTACAAAGAACAATGATTTGGGAGTCATGATAAGTTAGGGTGAATATTGGTCCATTGGTTCGCTCAATTTGTCTAGTTCAGTTTTATTTTTTAAAAAATTTAAAAATGTTGTTTTAATCCATGAAGTTAGATTGAATGAACATTTTTAGTCTAAAATATTAATGAGTTGAGTTTTAGATTTATAATTTCAAACCAATTTGGCCCAACTCGACTCGCTATTAAATTAACGAATATTTATTTGTTTATTTATAATACATTAAAATGTATATATATATATATATATATATATATTTTTGAGATTTAGACTTTATCCTTATTGTTTTTATTGAAACTCAAATTTGTGGTGATATGTAATTGAATTTATTTATGAAATCTTTTAATTTATACACAAAATCTTTATATTTATAATGATGCCAATATATTTATTTAAAAAATATAATGTGTGATTGAATTTAATCATGGAATGTTTTAATTTTCTTTTTAACATATAATCCAATGAGTGGAATTGAGATTTATAATTATTTTTTAAATCAGATTTAGACAGATATAGAAATCCAATGTTAAGGTTGAATTGGTCTTAGACAGATACAAAATTTCTTATTATATACTATCGGCCGATTCGGCCCAACGTTTGTCCATAAGTATCCCTCTAACCGTGCCTTAAAAATAACTTAAATAAAGGAAAAAAGCATAATTGGGATACGCAACGCTGTTAAAAAAGAAGAAGAAAAAATCCATAAATATACAACTAATAGTTTGACCTCTTTATATATACTTGATGGGGTTCTGATTGCAAATGAGATTGTTGATAAGTGGAGAAAATCGAAAAAAAAAAAGCCTCATTCTCAAACTGGACTTCGAGAAAGCGTTTGATTCCGTTAATTGGGATTTCTTATTTTTCATGCTCTATAATTTTAGGTTTGGTGATAAATGGATCAAATGGATCAAAGCTTGTGTGTCTTCTGCGAGGATTTCAATTCTGGTCAATAGTTCACCAACCTCTGAATTCCACCCACAAAGGGGTTTAAGGCAAGGTGATCCCTTGTCACCTTTCCTTTTCAATATTGTAGCTGAGGCCCTTAACATTCTGTTGTCTAAAGCAAAAGTGTTGGGTTTTTTTAAAAGGAGCTCAAGTGGGACCATCTGGATTTTCTATATCCCATTTACAATTTGTGGACGACACTATCCTGTTTTGTGAAGCTACTTGGGAGGAAGTGATAAATATCAAAAGAATTTTAAGATGCTTTGAGTTACTCTCGGGTTTAAAAATTAGTTATCATAAGAGTGTTATCAGTGGTATTGGGGTGGACGAGGATATGTTGCATAGCTTTTCTAATAGACTCAATTGCCTGCACCATAAGTTACCCCTTAAGTACTTAGGGTTGCCCCTGGGTGCAAATCCAGGCCGGAAAAGCACTTGGAAACCTGTCCTTGAGAAGCTCAAGTTGAAACTAGCCTCATGAAAGAAGAGACTTCTCTCCTTTGCCGGAAGGTTGACCTTAATAAAATCTGTTATGTCCAATTTACCCACTTACTACCTCTCTCTGTTTAAAATACCTACTGGAGTGGCTAAGGAGATAGAGAAATTGCAATCCTCTTTCCTCTGGGGTGGATCTGATTTAAAAAGAAATGTGTATTTGGTCAAGTGGGATGTGGTCACATTAAATAAAAGGTTTGGTGGCTTGGGGGTGAGAAAAATTAATATTATGAATGTTTGCCTTCTACTAAAATGGTGGTGGCGCTTTGGGACTGAGGATCACTCCCTTTGGAAAGTAGTAATTTGCAATAAGTACAACTTAAGGGGTGGCAGCTGGACTCCTAGTTTGGATGGCAGTGGATCCATAATCTGGTCTGATATTTTAACTTCTGTCTTATCAAACTCAGTGCTGCATAACTTTTATGTTAATAACTCCACTATTGTGTTGGGGGATGGTAGGAGATCTTTATTCTGGTGGGATAAATGGGCAGGAAATGTTTGTCTCAAGGAGGCCTTCCCTAGGTTATTCACCTTATCCACTGATAAGATGGGTGTGGTTGATGCCTTCTATCAGAGAAGAGCTGGCCTTGTTGATTGGAATGTCGGTTTTAGAAGAGCTTTATTGGCTTAGGAGGAAGGGAAAGTGTATAGGTTATATGGCTTTCTTAGAATTGCGCCTGTTTCATGCAGTTCCTAACCAGACACACTATCTTGGTCTGCTGGTCCTTCAAGCTTCTTCATTGTGTCCGCAGCTTACAATTGGTGGGAATTTTCTCTTGGGCATGCTCTGAGCTGTACTAATATAATATGGAATAACTGTGCCCCTCCCAAAGCCCAATTTTTTGGATGGTTAGCTTGGCATGGCAAGGTCAAGACTGCCAGCTTTCTCTACAGAATTGGGGTCCTAGCTATAAATGTTAATCAAGCTTGTATTTTCTGTCATAATAAAGCTGAATCTGTGAATCATATCCTCCTGTTCTGCCCATTTGTTTGGCTGATTTGGTCAAACATTGTTCAGTGGTGGGGTCTCCAATGGGTTTTACCTAGCTCTGTGCCTGACTTACTGAACTAGTGGTCTGGCTGAATGATGAAAAATCTGGAAAAGAAAATCTGGTTGGCTATCCCTCTTGCTGTTCTCTAGTCCATTTGGAAACTCCGAAATGAATGTGTCTTTAATGGTGCTCAACCTAACCAGGAGGTGTTTTGTGATCTTGTTAAGGTGAGAATAGCACTGTGGGTTAAGGCCTTAGCACCCTCTCTGGTGTTTTCTGTCAGCGACATTGCTTTAAACCTGCAACAGATCTTATTCTGCCTCAAACATGGTAGCTGATCTGGTCTGTTAAGCTGGTGTGGCTGGACTGCTTTACTCTGGGCTGCCCTGTTGTGCTTGGCTAAGTTCTGTTTTGCTGTATTGGGTTTTTGTGTTGGTCTGTACTACTGTAGTGGCTAATTTAGTCTGGTATTTTGCTTTGGTTTGCTTCAGTAGCTGATCTAGTCTGCATCTGCAATTGTATTTTGTTCTTGTTGATTGTTGTTGTTCTATCGGTTGGTTGCTTGCTGATCTTGTCTGGTATTTTGGTTTTGGTTGATGTCTGTTTTAAGTCTGTTCTGTTGCACTTATGTTTGGGGGGGTGATTCTGCACCATGCTTTGCTGTTGGTCTATCTGTTGATGTTCTATCTGTTGGTTATGCAGCAGCATCTGTAGTGCTGCAGTGGGTGTTAGTTTGGTCTGGGGGGCTTTTGAATTGTTACAGTATCTGCTGGTTTTGCAGCAGCATCTGTTGTACTACTGTGGGTGTTTGGCAGCTGCAGCTCTGCAGCTCTACTGCTTTCTGTTTTCTTTTCTACTTGTTCGGTTGGTTGCTCACCAACCTTGGGGGTGCTAGCAAATTATAGGATGGGCTTCTTTGTGCCAACCTGGTTGGGATGATTGAGCCCATTGTGATGCTTTTGCGCTCGCCTTTCTTTATTGATGTATTTTATCTTGTACTTTGTACTATACTTTCATCAATAAAGCTTCTTTGTTTTGCCGATCAAAAAATAGTTCGACCTTTTTATTACTAACATTACTAGGTGAAACTCTGAAGAATAATGTAACATATCAACATTCACAGGCTAAATTAAATATTTTAACTTCTAAATACAAATTTAGAAAAGAAAAAAATATAAAAACAAAAAGAAAAAGATATTAATATTAACTATAGGTAAAATATTAATTTTTAAAAACTCATTGAGGGCCTTTGTCTCCACTCGATCGAATGTAGCACCACCTTTGCTTTCACAAAATCGAGAGACAGAGAGAAAGAGGATGGTGACCACATTTTAATATTAACTAGTTGAACCCCCACGTACAGAGTTGCGACGTTGTTAACGTAGATAATTGAAATATATATGTAAGATTATGTATAGAGAAAAAAATAAACATAGTACATTTTTTTAAAGAGAAATGAAATAAATGATAGTAATTATATGCAATATATGTATGTGTCCTTGCCCGTCGCTTTTAATATCCAAGCAACTACTGATTTATTTGAAAACAATACTCCATTAATTTTACTTTCTAATTGCCTTGGTAATGTTGTCATTCCCTGTTGTAGACAGAAACCATATACACACAAACATCCCTTTCTTTATGGTAAGTCAAAATATTTCAGAAGATATGGATCAAAACTTCACATGCATGAAATATTTGATTCTTTTTTTCTTTTCTTTTTTTAAAGAGGAAAAAATGATCTACAAAAGAACATTAAACCAAAAATTCTGGAAAAAGGATTCTCATGGACAACGCCAAAGAAAAGAGAGACTGAATGATCGAAGGGATATGGATCAAAACTTCACATGCATCATGCATGGCTGCACTGCATCTCTAATTAATGCACAGAGCAAACTGGATTGCCACTCAAATCAAGAAGTATTCATATACCTTTATAGGATCAGAACTGAAGTCCTAGCCTAAGTCGGTATTAGAATGAGCGTCAAATGCACCCTAGTTTCATTCATCAACAACATCATGTAGAAATTCAGATTTTCAAATAAAACAATTGGTGTAGATAGATGTCGTGCAATGGTTTAAAGGTTCGGACATTAATAAAAAATTTCAAATCCAACGCAGAAGGAAAATACAAGAAAGATGCAAATTAAAACCTATACCTCTAGGTCTCTCTAGCATGCGATGAACCATCTACACTAAAGTTCTGCGTTGTCTTCGCTATGAGCATCATCGGCAATTCTTTCCCCTCCACTTGGTGGCCTTTCTGAGTTATGATCAGCATTTGTTGATGAAACATGTACCCTCTTTTGTGGAAGATGCTTTACTAACAACTGAAGAGGAGCTACAACATTTTCCACATCAAGAGTGAGCTCTCTGACAAATGTGAAACTCGAAAGTGGCAAGAGTTCATCAAAATTATAATACAACTACAACTTGCACATCTTGGCTTCAGATTCCCTATACCAGAAAATTTTCAATCCACAAAACATTTAGGCCAATCAAAAAAGGGAGGCATTAGATGCATTTTAAACAAGTCGTGCATACACTCAAAGATCCATCATCAAACACTTCTTGACAAAAAGATAGTCAAGCTAAATGTCCACTTAATCCTATATGAAAATTGTTTGACATACCTTCATCTTCAAACTTGTCCCAATTTTCATCCCAATCAGCTGCCCCTTCTCTAAACTTGTTTGTAGTTTATATGTCAATGTATGGGCAACAACTTCACATTCAACCGAGGGTGTTGAGAGGGGTGGACTGAACATCAAGTTTATGCAACAGATTCATTTGATTACAAACTCAATTTGTCAAATAAATTTTAAAAGTACGGGCTCAATCCACGAAGTGCAAATATTGGGATAAAAAAATTAGTTAAAAAAATTTCTTATACTGTGAGCTTATCACCTGGCTAATGGTTTCTCTCACATATTTGAATCAAATCTCATTAGATACCTATGATGAATTTTGACCATGATAGTCTGAGATGTTCAAAAAGTTTAAGCAGGCAAAGATGGAATACAAAACACAGTACATTAGTTGAGATAGGGCACAAGACGGTCGAACTCCTAAGAAAGAAAAGTGTAAGGCATATTTTCATAATTCAAATGCATACAGAATCACGTAGAACCACTAAAATAAGTTCTACATAATTTATGTTTGCATCTAATCTCAAACATTGAACAGAACTCAATGTAACAAAAATACCTGTTGGTCAGAGTTCAGCATGCGACCCATTCTGAGTTTGAAATAGAAATAGTATATTGCTCTTCTTGATCCAATTGGAGATTTTAAGGCCTTGTTTGGCTTGTATTTGAGAAACATGTTTTGAGATAAAAAGTACGAAAATTTGTTTGGTTTGGTTTTTTTTCAAAAGATGTTTTGAAAAATTATTTTGAGAGATAATTTTGGAAAAAGTGATTGATTTGATGTGTATGAGAGAGAGATTTGTTTGGAAAATTTGTAAACCAAACAAGTTTTGGAAAAAAAATTTTGGAAAAATTTGTTTGGTTTGATTACTTTTGAAAACATATTTGCAGAGAATTTTTCCCAAAATTTTTTGAGAAATACAAACCAAACAAGGCCTAAAATTTTCAAAGTCTCATCAATGGTTCGAAGAATGCAATATGAAGTGAATGGCAACATTTTGCACCCAAAAAAATAATAAATAAAGAAAAAGAAACGAATGACAAGAGTTTACACAAACATTTGGAACAATTCCCTACAAATCATTGATATCAATGTAGAGAAGAAGAAGAAGAAATGAATAAGAAGAGTTTACTCAAATATTAGGAACAACTCCTTACAAACCATGTGAAATTGTCAATGCTGAAACTAAAAATTGGATGAGGATGTTGACATTTTGTCTCAAACCGTTGACTTTTTTATATCAATGCTAGAACTAAAAAATACATGGTGGTTTGATCTCTTTTGAATACGTTGCCAATCATCAAAATCATGAGCAAGTTAGTAATACAAATTTACTAAAGAGTAACATTGTCTCAAAGACCAACACAAAATTCACTAATGAAGTGTGCACCCATGTATTTGGGTGTCATAGAATGGGCACGCACTACACACACACACACACACACAAAAAGTTGAAATATAACACAAAGATGAGGTTTGGCATGTATTTATATGTTTTTAATTTAAGTGGAAAAGTTTTAGTTGATTATGTGATCTTCAATTGGAGTGAAGATTTTTGTGTGGGTGATTTTCCGACCACACTGCCCGCTTAGTAACCAGCTGGAGAGCACTGGCAGAATAGATGGCACCTGACTGACCTGCAACAGAAATATAAGAATCCCGCGGTGGTTTCAACCACCCGGAGGCACTCCGACGATCAAGTCAGTATATCTCTCAAAGATAAATCAAGTACTAAACTCACAAGCTTGAGTATCAAAAGCATACCTTAGACCCCCATGGGGGTGCCTCCTTTTATAGCCAACATAAACCTAGTCCCAATAGAAGCCTAACTTCTATGGACTCAGGATTACTGCTTGTCTGGGACTCCCAGTGGAGTTAGGACAAAACTCTCTAAGAGTCTTATCTTTATCCAAATTGAAGTCTTCTCCCAATCTAGGACTCTTGTCCATATCCAAGTTGAGTTCCCTCTTCATTCTAGGACTCTTGTCCTTTATCCATCTTATCATCGGATTTCCTGTTATTCTTCGGAGATAACGCATCGGCTTTACCGAGACCATCGGTGTCACGACCAGGACACGTGGCACCTCGGTTGACACGTCGGCGTCACCTTGCCACATGTTGGTACTCAGAAAATATATCCCCACAACTGTCCCCTAGGTTCTATTACCTCGGCATTCTGAGGTGATGGAACCTACAATGTTCATTCATCTGTGCCCCTTTATCCGAGATCAATCTCGCCGACCTCAAAGTTCCCTGGACTTTACTGTCCACTTCTGTCATGTGTCAAGATTCATGCCTTCCAGGCTACTTGAGATCGCACCTCCTACCCGAGGTTCCGGTTCCATTAATTTGTAAACTCCAAGAGCTTTGCAACTGCTCCACTCACACTCTCTAGTGAGTTCCCGATTTCCAGTCATCTATTTGACTCCGACGATTTTCATATCGGCGTTCATTTGGTAGGTTCATAAATTCTTACTTTTTATTAAGCTCAATCTTTCATAACTCTTCTGATTTACTTTGAATCTGTTTATTTGCCATCTGTTGCCTTCTATTTTCGTCTGTCTTCAAGTCTTGAATTGTTTGAATGCCTGGCACTGTTCTTGTCATATCTGCTTTCTGTTGCCAACATTACTTTCTTGTTCTTCACATACTTACTTAGTGCCTGTGCACTTGGCTTTATTCTTGAACTTTGTCATCTTCTTGACTCTGATTTTTCTTTTCTTGTTTTTTCTTGTTGTATTTCCAGATTCTTGTCTTAGTCCCTAGTTCTTAGGGTCTTCATCTTTGTACTTTTGTTTTCTTTGCATCTGCAACCTTTTTTGCTTTTGAAAAATGTCTGCTGTTGGCCGATGTTAACATTCCTTGCTCCTTGATTATCATTCCTTCTTTCACTGTATTTGGTAGCCATGTCGGGTAATTGACTTCTCGGATGGCCCTGAGCTCCAGAAGTCTGCCTACTTCTTCCTCTACTGCTTTGACGTGCATCAACGTTGGCCCTCTTGCTCGTTGGATTACAGGTTTGGCCGACCTGTCGACGTCCAGTTGGTGGCAAGTGACCTCGGGGTCAATGCCAGGCATTTCATAAGGTGTCCAAGCAAATGCCTTAATGTTTGTTCTCAAAAAAAAAAACTTCCAATTCCCTTTCTTCTTCTTCGGCTAAGCCTAAGCCGAGAGAAGAAAGAAGCGTTCTTCATCCCCCTCCTGGACGAGGATTTTCAAAGCCTCTTCACTCCTTTCGGCTGGCTCCTTGCCGACATCATTTAGTACCTCTATGTCCTCGTTTTCAATCTATGCCTTCTCTGGTTCTCGAATGCTGCAGGTGGATTTCATTACTGCCATGGAGCAATTCTCTGCCTGCAATTGATCCCCTCTGACTTCTTTAATCCCATGTTCTGTTGGGAACCGCAGTAGTTGATGCAACGTTGAGGGAACTGCCCCCATTGTATGCAGCCATGGCCTTCCCAAGATGATATTGTATGGTGAGGGTGTGCCAATCACCATGAATTCTGTCTTGATCTTCTTCTAACTGCTCTTGCATGATTCTATACTTAGAATATTTTGCATGCCTTTCATACTTTGCCTCCTTTGTGCAATCTTCTCGGGGTTACATACCTCGTGTATAATAGCTACAAAACTTTTACTTTGGCAGGATACTGACTTGCAAACTTTTCATAAATTCTAACAAGTGTGAAACATATACTACTCAATGTTAACTTTGCAAACTTTTTCTCAAGTTTCAACAAGTGTTTAAACGGTGATCTCGGTCTAGCCTACTTGTAAATTGCTACAAATTTCGACAAGGATTAACATATACTGTAACAGGGATCAACAAGGATTAACAATTTTAAATAATAATCTATTTGTAAATTGCTACGAATTTAAACAAGCGAAGAGAAACAATAATCTCGACTTAACTTCAACTTGTAAATTACTACAAATTTTAACAAGTGAAGATAAGGAACCATCTCAGCTTAACTTCAACTTGTAAATTGCTACAAATTTCAACAAGTGTTAAGCAATACTTTTCGGTTTAACCAACTTGTAAATTGTCCACAAATTTCAACAAGCGGTAAACATCATATTGGTTTAACCAACTTGTAAATTGCTACAAATTTCAACAAGTGGAAAACGCATTCTTCTTCTCTGCGCCCCCAGTGTGAACTTAAAATCCACTTGGGTTCTCATCATACATGAAGCTTCGACCTTGTCGCCGAGGCTGAATTCAAGCCGAGGTTGTCGGCCTTGGTTTCTCTATTGATCTTACTTGGCTCCAACCTGAGTTTGATTTTCGGCCTCGCATCGGCGAGCCGTTTCTCTTTTCTTGTTCCGACGCCTTTGTTCCCGGCATGTCTTCCTCGGCCTTAGCATACTTCTCAATTCTGGCCAACTTTAGTCTGATCTTGTGTGTTTCCTTTTTATCTTCTGGGATCTGAGATCTGCTCATTGTGCTCTTCACTTCTCGGACTCAGGTGCAGAGATCTTATCTTCTGGAATCTTGGATTTGCTCACTTAGGTTGAGCTCTCGTTTTCTCGGGCCTACTTGTCTAGGCTGAGATCATGTCTTCTTGGATCCGTGACTCTGGTCACGAGTTTCTATGTTGCTATTGTCCCCTTCAACGTCGAGGTTGATAGATCTCCTATTCCCAGCAAGAACGTTGTCTCCAGTCTGATCCTTATGTCCGTCATTGGCCATCTATTCTTCTTTCTTTCCCACAGACGGCGCCAAATTGTGTGGGTGATTTTCTGACCACACTGCCCGCTTAGTAACCAGCTGGAGAGCACTGGCAGAATAGATGGCACCTAACTGACCTGCAACAGAAATATAAGAATCCCGCGGTAGTTTCGACCACCCGGGGGCACTCCGACGATCAAGTCAGTATGTCTCTCAAAGATAAATCAAGTACTAAACTCACAAGCTTGAGTATCAAAAGCATACCTTAGACCCATGGGGGTGCCTCTCTTTTATAATCAATACAATCCTACTCCCAATAGGAGTCTGGCCCTAATGGACTTAGGATTACTGCTAATTTGGGACTCCCAGTGGGATTAGGATAAACTCTCTAAGAGTCTTATCTTTACCCAAACTGAAGTCTTCTCTTCATTCTAAGACTCTTGTCCCTCATCCAGGTTGAGTTTCCTTTTTATTCTAGGACTCTTGTCCCTTATCCTCTTATCTCGGATTCTGATATCTTCGGAGATAACCTCGGCTTTACCGAGATCACCTTGGCGTCACAACCAGGACACGTGGCACCTCGGCTGACACGTCGGTGTCATCTTGCCACGTGTTGGTACTCAGAAAATATATCCCCACAATTTTATATTTTCCTTGGCAATTATAATGACCCAGAATTTTTTAAAAAAAATAGCCAGTGCATAATTTAATTGAGCAAATTTTTGAATTTGCTTGCTGTGTAAATTCTGTGCGAAAATAGTTCATTTTTGTATTTTTTAAAAATAGTTCCCGATTTCAGAGAATTATGAAATTTTTATGTGTTGTTCCCATATGAGTCTAGCACGTTGGATAAAAATTTCAGAATTAAATGATGAGTATTTATTTTATGAAAATTCATGGACTGATTGGTTTTCAGTTTTATTTATAGCAGAATTTTGTTATTTAATTTTTAATGTTTATATCATGATTTAGATAGATTTGTTGGGTCTACTTTGATATGTAATTGGGCGATGTTTCGCTTTTGAGTGAGAATTTAATTCAAGACCCATGATTTAGATTTAATTTAATTTGAGTTTGTTTAATTACTCATATTTAACTGTTTGGTCATTTTTGATTATGTGATTGGTAGTAACCACCTTGGGAGTTGTTATTATTTATTATATAGGATAATAATAAATATTTGTTAGTTGATTTTATGGTGTGTACCATATGGTGAAAAATTATATATTTTTGTAGTGAATAAAATGTGTATATATTTTGTGGTGTACAAAAATATTATATTTTGTGGTGAGAAAAATTATATCATTTTATAATTTATATTATAAATTCTGAGATATTATTACAAAAATTATATATATATATACACTTTTAGAAAACAAACCCATGTGGGTGGGTCCCCCTTTTGTCCATACCATCATTTTCCCTTCCTTTCCCTCTTTTCTAATTTTGATTCCCCTCGTTTCCTTTCCTTTTCATTTCTTGTGGCAGTCGTCTCTTTCTCACCATGGATGCTCAACCTTTGAGCTTTGAGTGGAAGTCCTTAGAGTGAGATTTTATAAAAGTTTTATAAATGAAAGTCGGAGAGCTTGTCGTGATCTTCGCAATGGTAGTCTCGAATTCATGATCAGGCAAGTTTTGCCTTCCAGATTTGTTCTTCTTCATTATTTGAGGTAAGAACTTTCTTCATATTTTTACATTAAAGCTATATTAGGGTTATTTTGAGAAAATATATTATTATAAGAGGTATTGCATATATATATATTTTCAGATTTTTGTTTGGTAATTTTTGAAAGAAAAATTATGTTGAAATATTAAGAATGTTGGCATGTTGAGATTGATTTGGAAAAATCATTTTATGTTGATAATTTTGCAAAGAAATCCGAAAATAAAATTAATAGTTGTATGATTGTATTTACATCATATTATGATTAGATGATTTATTTTGAGAAATATAAAGTTGATTTTTTTTTTTTTTGTATCTTTGAGTTTTAGAATTTATTTTTGAGAAGAAAAGTAAATTGATCTTGATGAATATAGTGTAAATTGTTAAGTTGATATTATAGAGTTGTTTTGGGATTAAAAACTCTAAAAATGTTATATTCATGAAATATGATTATGCTTGAAAGATGAGTTGGGTTAAGTTATGTTTGGTATTATTTCTTTTGGAAAAATGTAAATATAAGAAAATTACTAATTTAGTTGATTAAATTGGTTTGGTTAAAAATTTATATCCTTTATGGTTAAAAGTGTGTTATTGAGATTATACCATAACTTTTAATATGGTAGGATGAAAATGTTAATATTTCATAAGTATGAGATATTGGTGAAATTTATTTTGGTTATCTTGGTTGAAGTGGAACAAAATTTATTGAAAGTTTTGTGCGAGTCAAGACAATTGAGAAATGAATTTTTTATTTTAATAGTTGGAGTATGCTAATATGTTGCTTTTGAACATCAAATTTATATATATGTTTTTGTTTTAAGATCTAGATGATTTTCGAAATCATCATTTAATTTGTTTTGAAAATTGATTGTTGGTTCAAGAAGATGAGAGATTTTTTTTTTTTTTTAAGTAGGTTTACTTTCTTATTCCTTTTAAAATAGAAATTTAGGGTTTTGAACTATGAGGATTGAAGAGAGATGTTTTTTGGTGGCTTTCTTTCAATAAATGAAAATGAGTGGTTTTTGGGAGAAAACTTAGAAATTGAGGGTTTTTAAGAAAGATGTTGACAATCTTTGAAGATGTTATATTTATTTTATGAGCCAAAATAAATGATGTTTGAAAAATTATTTATTTGTTTACATATAAATGATGGTTTTCATGGAATATGAGAATTGTTGAAGTTTTGGAAATTGTTGTTCAAAGTGTTGATATAGTCTTCAAGTGACTAAATGGTTGAGATTACTCTAAGTGTGGGAATTTTGTTGTCCCATGGATGAATTGGAATAAAAGTATTTATATTCATCTTGAGAAATTATATTGAAATGAGAAATGAGAATTTTGATCACAATGAGAATATTGTGTGGAAGTATTGAAAGTGGAAGAAATATTGCATTGTATTATTAGTCATTGCATTGGCATATCAATTCATTTGATAATGATGAGCTTTGAAATTTGATTTGAAAACTTTGCATTGAGTAATGAATGTTGGGAAACAAGTTTTCATAAAATGATTTTGGGGTAAATACGGTGGTAAGCCTTAAAAGGTGGTGTAGAGGATAGGTATCGAGCCTTCTAGTTAATACTGGTAAAAATGACAAATTATAGGTGTCGAGCCTTCTAGTTAATACTGGTAAAAATGACAGATTATAGGTATCGAGCCTTCCAGTTAATACTGGTAAAAATGACAAATTGGTAGTACTTGTATAGTATACTTGTAGACACCAGCCTAGGGCTTACTTGAGTTGTATTTACCATTTTGGAATTTTATTGAAATTGTTGGATTAATGTATTTTCAAATTGACATTGTGCATAAGATTTTCAAAAGATGAGGAAAATATTTTGAGCATGGCATGGCATATACATTCATCTCATAAGACTGTATAAAATGGATTTGATGAATTGTTTAATTATTTGATTCAATTGATCATGAGATAATTGAATGAATTGAAAAGGATGTCCTGCTGCTATTAAAACTTGTTTATTTATTGTGATTAATTAAATAAATTGGATTTAAGATATTATGTAGTAAAATCATATGATTTTGACATGATATGACTTTATGTATATGTACGAGTATTTTGGTACCCGCATATCTTCTAATGTTTTAATATGGGATTGTTTGGTGAGCTAGTGGTTGCTCACCCCCTGCCTGTACATATGTACAGGGAATACTTTTCGGATTTGAAAATCAAACAATGGGTTTTACCATTTCATAAGTGTAATGTAGTGATGGATTGTACTACTTCATTTGTTGTTTAGTTGAGTGCTATTTTTTTGTAAAGAGTAGTGTCCTCTCTTTTATTGTAAGTCTCAGGGCATCTCTTTTATTTGTATGTAAATATCATTTTTGTATAACAAGAGGGAACATGTATATTTAATTATTTATCATTTCATCAAAGGATGAATTGTCATTTGTAAATGAACTTAATTAATGAATATTGGTAATGTTATCTGAGTAATAAAATTTGGGGCATTACAGCAATGGCAATAGTTCGTGGCCTCATTGTACCCATTTTTTTTTTTTCTAACTAAACAGTAATCTGTTCAAATCCCAACTTACCTGGGATTAAAAAACATTGCACAATCAACTGCTTTTTTAAGCATTATATTTCAGGAAAGGAAATGACTTCTATTGATCAAGATGCACCATTAAATTAAGCTATTGTGGTCTCTAATCAGTACAACCCGTGATATTAACCATCACTATACAATGAAAGCAACATGGTAGTTTTATGCTAACCATTTTATTCCTGTTATGTATACAGTACATTTTTAACACTTCGATAAAAGCATTTTCAGAATTTGCATCACTATTCAGTTTGAATCCATTTAATCTTGTACCTTTTTATTGAAATTGGCTCTATATAAATGGAATCACAAAATCTAGAAGTTAGAAATAAAAAAGAAAACTTGAGGGAAAAAAAATAAAAGCACCAAAAAGCTATCACTATTGGCTGATTCGCAATCAATGAACTGTAAGCACAAACATAATTTAGGAAGTTGGGATATTTATAGAATTGGTTGTTAAAGACAGAGAATTAGAGTTATTAAATCCTCAAAATCAACGAGAAAATGAGACATATAGACTAATGTAAAGTCATTTGGCACAAAATTCCAAGGCCTAGATAACCAAATAGCATGCCATCAAAAAGATGCAAAAACTTTGAAAAAGATGCAATCTCTATGTAAGAAGAACAAGAAAAATAAATTTAAAAAATTGCATGCCATCAAAAACTTTTGACTGATTGTGGTACAATAAGGTGACAATGTGAGTGGGACTTTGTGTGTGCATGTGCGTGTCTCAAAATCAGAAATGGAAGGCTTCTCCATGCTTAATGATGCTTTTAGTAGGCTAGTATTAGTTTTAGAGAGAAAAACATTCAAAGTGAGAAAACAATAAACCCACCACCACATGTACACTTAAACCATTAGACACCGTAATTGAAAGCTTGCTAGAATTTGGATATTTATAACCATCTATATTTGGTTGACAATAGTAATTGTATATATATAACTATTGTTGCTGTAATTGTGAATGCTAAAATGTTTGGTGATTCCATTTGATTTAGTTTTCATATTAAGTTCATTGATGGTAATTGAATTTGTCGACTCGATAACTCTATCTCCTTCAGCTCCTTATTGTTTTTGTTGTTATTTGTGCAGATTTGGTGATTCGATGAGCATATCTTCAATAGCATTATAGAAATTTATTCACAACCAAGGCATCTTAAGGCCTGCTCTTAAGGACATGTGATGAAGAAGCAGAAAGAGATTACAAATTTTAAGATCTTACAATTTGCAATTGACAATTTGTCATTTCAGTAAATCATATGTAAACATCAATTAGCATATTATAATCGCAAAGAATAAGCAACAATGCATATTAACAAAAAAGTTGTCTCTCACGGGTCTATACCAATAAAAACTCAAAGTTTACTCTTTTTTTTGCATGCTTTTTCTCTTCGGGGCTCTCTATCAATTATTGTAGCAATCTGTTCATTTTGTTTTCTTGTGGGTAAACTATATTTAAGCACTTTTGAATTATCATTTATTATGACTTCCATATTTCCTTGTTCTTTCTAATTCAATACAATCTGGGTTTGGTAGTTTTCTTTGTATATAGATATATACATAATCTCATAATTTCCAATTTTCAATTCTCCAACAAATGCTTTAGTTTTCTTCAATTTGTTTTTGGTTTTAGATTGTTCTTTGGTATTTCTTTTTGGGAAGTTGTTAGTGAATCTAATGTTCTTTGGTGGTCTTTGCTAGCTTCCAAGAAACAAAGAAAACAACTTTCCTATCTCTCAGAATCCAATTTCGGTTTCAAAATTCAAAACCCATATTGAAAAAAGCTATCTTTTGCTTTAAATAACCTTTAATCTTGAAACCCTTTCGAGTTCTAGCTATCTGAAGTTGTGAATTCATCAGAATGTTCTGGTACTTTGACTACCAAATAATAAGCAGAATTTAAATTATTGAGACCCATTAATTTATTGGTTTATAAATTGGGTTTGGCTTAATCAGACAGCTAGTCAGGCATTTTATCAAGCATACAGTGTGCATAATTTGTCTATTGCACTAACAAATAACAATAAATACAAACAAACACTAATAAATACAAATTAGGTATCCATATCCCAATATAAGACAAACAAGCAGTCAGAAGATCACAAACCAAAAACATACATAACTGGATACAAAATACCTATATCTTCATCTCTATAGCACGGCGACGATGGTGATGAAGCGGGGAGCTGGTGTAGGCGTTGTACCTCCGGTGATTTTTTCTCTTAATAGGCCACAATGAGAGCAGTGGCTAATGATTTCGTTCAAATAGGACTCAACGAATAGGAAATTTCTAGGATCGACCTTCAATCTTCAAATGGTGCAAACAAGATAGCCACCTGGTTCAACTGATATTCTCTTCACACAAGAAGGGTGAAACGGACAATAAGATAGCATTAGATTAGTAAATAGATAATGTGTGATGATAGAGAACACTAGAGTGATGTGGCAATACATAAATAATTATAAAAAAAAAATTGCAACATCACAAGTCAAAACATCAAATCATAAGGTGGGGCCCACCTCTAAATCTCTCTCTAGAGGTCCTCATTTAGAGGTCTCAAACATTTTTGATAGATAATAACGTTGTAACGTTGTGTTTCATTGAAAGATTTGCAAAGGAATTTGAAAAGAAAAAGAGAAAAATTAGGTAGAATATGAATAAAATATATTTATATTTTACCTAATTTCACACACTTTTTTCCTTTCCCTTTCCAAATTCCTTCCTAAATTCCTTAACCAAACACAATGTGAAGCTCACATAATTAGCATTTGAACCCTTCAAATAGCCAAACTCAACTATTTGCTGCAAAATCTTTGATTCTCACAAAGTTTGAAACTTTAATGTTTTTTTGGTCCATACTTGATGGATCTTATCAATTATTTATGATCAAATATAAGTATTTTGGATAGAAAATATTCAAGAATTGCTATGCAAAGAAACAAAATAAGTTGCTACACTACACTCTAATAATTATGTCCAAATAGGAGGGAAGACCTCCGTATACAAACACAAAACTTAGGTTGTGTTTGGAGTATAGATTTAAATATGAATTTGAAAAGTGCCGTTTAAACATACATATATATATATATATATTATCTATAGTAAACTCTCAAATATCTTATTAATATCATATACATGCATAAGTTGTAACCTTTTTGTATAGTAGTGGAACTAGTTCTAAACAATTATCGAATCAATTTTTAGGAATTGAATAATATTTTGTAAATGATGACAAAGTTTCCAACAATATTGGTTATAAATGAAACCAAACCGTATTTTATTGGTTCGGTTCTAAGATTTTCATAGTCTAATTTGATTCTAAATTTTATAGAACAAATAATAATAATTTAGTTATTAATTTACTTCTAAATTGAATCAATTCCAACCATATTTACCGTATTTATTATTGTCTTCAAATCCAAATTTAGAGGGTCACCTACCTTTTTATTTTTATTCCTATAAGACATGACATGATAAGAATCTTATGTTAATTAAGAGGCCTCAACCATTCATTTCATAGCATTCTTGGTCTTGCTAGTAAAAGTTTGTTATTTGTGTTCAAGTCCAAATTACGGGGTCATACATCAAAGTTATTTTTGTGTTCACATGAGAAATGTGACATGTTAGGTAAGGCTATAAAATGAATCAAATTACTTGAATTATATTTACCTAGTCAAATTGTTCAAACTTAACTTGTATTTGACTTATTAAAAATTCATTTGAAATAAATTTGTTATGTAAAAAAGCCAAACATAAGCATATTTTAAAATTTATTAAATTTTTAAGTCAAATTTAAATAACTTATTATTTAACTTTGACTCATTTGGAATGATTGGAATCTTCATCACTCTGATTATAGAATCCCAATGGAATTTAATAATCTCATTCAACCTTGATTTTGAATATATGGTAATCAAATCAATTAAATAAAAAATCTTGATCAAACTAACTAACAACTTTTTGTTATGTTTGGACTTTAATCAACAAGTGGGTAGGAAGAGAAGAAGAAAGCAACCCTAAAAATTACTTGCAAAGTCTCAGGACTGTGGGACATGGGAAAGACTTGACGCGAGTTTGGATTGTTCATCCTCAAATTATTTTATATATGTATTGATGAAAATTTTTAATTATGTCAATCATTTTTGCATTAAAACTCTATTTGAATTATGAATTTAGGTAAAAAAAAATTTAAAATATATAGAGTTTTATGTTGTGTTTAGATCATGAAACTAGGTAAAAATTTGAAAATGAAAATAAAACATGTATGTAAAATATAGGTGAAATGTATTTATATTTTATAAATATTTCACCTACATTTCCTTCCTCTTTTCAAACCCCTATCAAATTCATGAATCAAACACAGTGTTAAGATAAGAAAAATAAGAATGAAATACAAATTAATTTTTTTATCTTTTTAAATTTATGATCCAAACACAACGTAAATAAAACTTCATCAGTGGACTTACAATCCGTTCCATGATCATGGAGTTCTACTACGACTGTAGTTGATTTTTGCCATCAGGTTCATGATTTTGTTAGGTTTTTGGTTCGTTTGATTGATATACATATATATGTATATATTTATATACATATATATATATATATGCAATTCTCTAATTCTGCGATTCTTTGATTTTGTTGATTTGTTGATATTAGAAACTGTTTAGTTATGTATGCAGAGTTATATACTTTTTGTTCGAGCTTGTGATTTTGATTTGGTTTTTGATATTATTGTTATGATGTTGTTATTGCTGATATTGAATTTTTATTTTGATGATGATATTGAAAGGTTTGAGATATGTATATGTGATGAATATTGAATTTGTTTGTTGTAAAATTGTTTTGGTTGAACACAGTTGTTGGTTTGTTATTTTCTAGTGTGATAAAATTTATTAGTGAGTATAAGAATAGGAGATGAAAAAGTTGTATAGTGGTTTAATTGTGTAGGTAATTTTTGTTAGGGCAAATTATGCAAATAGTCCCTGTACTTTACAAGATGTGTCAATTTAGTCCCTGTAGTTTCAATTTTGCTCGATTTTGTTCCTTAATTTAACGGATTGTGTCATTTTAGTACAATAAATAACGGTTGTTAAGTTAATTTAACAGAAAATCAAACAATGTATCAATTTGGTCCCTGTATTTTCCACAATGTGTCAATTTAGTCCCTATCAAAATCGAAAAAATTGAAACTATAGGGACCAAATTGACACACTATTTAACCTTCCGTTAAATTAACTTAACAGCCGCTATTTATTGGACTAAAATGACACAATCTGTTAAATTAAGGGGCAAAATCGAGCAAATTGAAACTATAGGGACCAAATTGACACATCGTGTAAAGTACAAGGACTATTTACATAATTGACCCTTTTTGTTATTTTCTATAGTGATAAAATTTCACTGTTGGTTTTTTGGATATGTTTGAGTTGATTGATAATTTCATCACTATATCAGAATTTGTTTTAGTTTGTTTGAGTTATTTACTGAAATATAATTTTTGTTTGTGACAAGATTTATAATGATGGATAATTCTTTGTTTCTTATGTGCAAGTTTAGAGGTGTGACATTGGCTATCAAGTATAATGATGGATTTCATTTCAAGGATTTAGCATATAAATTGTGTGCAAAGTGGAGTGAGTTAGTTGGTAGTTCTTTGAATCTTTCATATTCAATACCTGGACATTCTTGTTGTAGTCTAGAAAGTGAAGAGGATTTGGGGAGGTTATGGTTAGACTTGCACTTTCTTGTGATATTCATCGTATTGATGTTTTTGTTAAGTGTTTTTCTTTGAGTGAATGTTATATGATTTGTAATGGTGAAGCTAGTAGTAGTAGTAGTGTTATTTGTGAAAATGATTTTTTGCCTTCATTTTATTCAAATCAATGGAAACCTTTGCTCTCCGATGGTTGGGTTAATTGTATGAAATGAGTGGGAAAAAGGTTCACTCAAGGTGTTGTTGAATTTCGGGATGCGTTGTCAAAGTATTCTATTCATTTCGGTTTTGATTTTGATATTGTTAAGAATGATAAGGATCATGTCACTGTTCATGATAAGATAATGACTGATTTGGGATGTTTATGGAGCGTGCATGCTAGATTGAAAAATTCTAATAAAGTTTTTGTTATTAAACAATTTGATGATGTTCATACGTGTGGATCTTCTTTTCGTATAGTTAAACATGCTAGGATGACTTCAAGTATGATTGGTGGGCTAATTTCAAGTGACGTTCGTAATAAGCCTTTGACATCGGTTAGTGTGGTGGTTTGTGATTTCAAGGATTACTATGGAACAGAAGTTTCTTATCGGCGAACTTAGATGGGTGTTGAAAAAGCAAAGGGGTCTTTTTTTGGCGACTATTCGTTGTCATTTGACGATTTTCGTTGGTATGTTGATGGCGCTAATGATGCTAATCCGAGGAGTCTTTTTTATATGGAATTTGATGTTGATAGTAAAGGAAGACATTTCAAAAGGTTGTTTTTCGCTTTTGAGGCATGTGTTCATGGTTTCAAGTATTGTTAGAATGTGTTGATGCTCGACGGAACTTTCTTGAAAGGAATACACAAAGGTTGTTTATTGGCTGCTACAGCAAAAGACGGTAATCAAGGTATATTTTGTGTCTATTTGTTATTATTTTTAAAATAGTGATAATTTTATCATTTTTGTTATTGGAGAGTGTTGATAATTAAGTATGGTCAATCTATCAGTGATAAATTAATCATTGGTTGGTTGAGTATGTTGTATACTTTTGTTAAATTTTTATATTTATACACTAATAAATTTATTATTGATTGCTTATATATGTTGTATGCTGCTGTTGAATTTTCACAGTTATACAATGATAAATTTATTTATGGTTGGTGTTATATGCTATACACTTTGTATTTTGCGTTTTGCTTTTATTTTGTAATTTTTTTTGTTTGTTACTGATAAAGTGTATATATATATATATATATTGTAGGTTTATATCCGTTATATTTTGCCATTGTTAGATAGTGAAAGTTACGACAATTGACATTGGTTCTTATCAAAGTTATTGGTTATTTTGACTCCGGGAAAAGATATGGCGTTTGTAATCGATCGGCATGGAGGTTTGCTGAAAGCTTTAGCTGAGGTGTATCCATTTTCTTCTAATTCTTTTTGTCTAATGCATTTGAAGACAAACTTGAAGACTTATTTGTCAGTGAAGAGTCGTAAATCTAAAAAGTATTTGTTTTTGCTTTCTCTTTTTAGTAGATGTGTATATGCTTCTACTATTGAGTTGTTTAATGAGCTATTTGAAGAATTTCAGGGTCGTTGTGGTTGTAGTATTCAACAATTTCTTAAGGACTTGCCTAATGAGCGTTGGTGTAACGCTTATTTTCAAGGCAAGAAGTATGGTGAAA